AATTCCATAATGGTAGTATATATATATATATATATGTACGGAGCCTCCGGGACACAGGCTTGCTGAACCATGGTGTCTGTGCAGCATGACTTTGCTTAGTTCGGACTTCGGGGGTTCGATATTACGAGTTGCTATAACTTATAAGGGCGATTATCAGGATTCCCATGAGGAGGGTTTAGGGTTTAATGAGGGCTTGGGGCATAAAGCCCAGGCCGACCTCTTTTTCCTAGCCGAGCGACGCCGAGTGATCTCTGAGATGTCCTGAGCCCAACCTCCGCAGCTATGTATGAGCGTGCAGGTGTGCGAATCAACTTAAGCACGGAAGGACCCTATGCACTACGTACGTGAACCACATTACTGCAAGATGCATACATCCAGGACAGATTTAGCTCTCCTTGCCGGTCCGCGGACACGGAACCTCATTGAACTTCTCAGTGGCTGCTTTACTACACCCTAGGCCTCAGACCTTAAACCCCTAAACCTAACACACCCAAAAACCTAAACCCCTGAACCCTAAACACTAATGTCGGTGCACGGCTACTACTGACGACTCAAGCACACCCGCACAGGCGAGGTCGAAGGCTGGCCGTTCAGTTTGTACATAGGCGCCTGCGTGAGTTTCCAGAAACCCGGGATCCCAAACCTTAGCTTTACACACCTTAACCACTTAGAAACCCTAAACTGCAAACCATGAAAACTTTGAACCACCATAACCTAAACTACAAACCAACGCAAACCGAAAGCCGTTCCGTCTCATCAGACCCCATCTTCGGTCCCACGACCATGGGAAGGTAACACACAAATAGCTCAACACACTTAGATCTTGGGACGAATTATGTAGATGCTTTTTGTAATAGTACTTAGAACATGGTCCGCGGGGTACAAGGGTAAATAGCTGTTCCGACTCCTTATATTGAACAAGTGGGATGAAAGTCACAAAATACCAGGGAAATACCCGTAAACCCTAACCCTACCCCCTGAAGCCTGAGGGGTAGGATCCGATCCTGATCGCACCTGTGAGTAGCCCGAAGTCCTCAAACACTCGGGAACAAAGTCTTTCGGCTCCAGCCCGTCAAGTCTTAGACCGTGCACTATCATCCATATAGCGTGTAGGGTTTATAGGGAATCTTAACCCAATTCAAGCACTTAGGCACGAAGCGTGTGGGTGTATACTGTATGTAACTGTTAAAGAACAAACATTCGAGACAAGTGACATGAGCCACCATGCTGCGCTCCCAATAACCCTTTATGCGAATTCTCCTAAACCCAACCTACCCTGACCACTGCTAAATATGTCCCCCTATGTCTAGCCTAAATGCAAACCTAAACCCTAAGCGCTGAACCACAAACACTCAAATGCTGCCGCTGCAGACTTCACTGCGGCTCAGGGTGCGAGACCTGATCGACCAAGGTCGGCTACGAAGAAGATGTTGTTTTAGGGCTTAGGGTTCAGGTTTTTTAGGGTCTATAGGGTTTAGGGTGTTGGGTTGGTTTGTAAAAAATTTCGAGTTCAGGATTTTTCAGGTTTAGTGTGTTTGCGGCTTTTTTGTCGGGCGACGAACTTTTACGTAGTGTTTAGCTTCTTTTAACATGCAAGGGCGCCCCTTTCTGCGAAGCGACACCCCGCCCGCTAGGCGTAGACAGTGAGACGAGCGATGACATACTGCATGGTCGTGTAATCGAGAAACCCCCATCTCCATGACAAAGCCAAAACAACCCTTCCATCATGACCTGAAGTTCTATCCACTGCCATATCCATCATCTTCAGCTGCATAATTGTCGTCCTCATCATCCTCCTCATTGATTCCTTCATCTTCCTCATCATGAACTCCAGCAGGAACAACATCATGCAGCAGAGACATGTCCCCCCATGTGCAAGTGCAACGCGTGCAGGTGTTCATTTCAGCCCCATGTGCAGGTAGAAGAGGTACAGCGGCTCCATCACTCTCACGATCAAGTAGCACAAGTACTGGACGTCCGTCACCCTCCCTACCAGGTAAAACCGGTACTGGAGGTCCATCACCTACACCACCAGGTAGAATAGATACTGCAAGGCCATCAGGGGGAGGTGCATGAGGTACACCAAATCATCCACGATCACCTTGATCACTTGTGTCGCCCGACAGCGGTCTTGGATCACTCCTTGATTCTCGCACAGGTAGATGTCGCGGAGCAACTGACGGAAGACGACCAGGTGGAAGAGTGTAGGGGTGTGGACGGGACGAAGAGCTAGTGCTCGGTTCTAATAAACGCATTTCCGCGTCTTGTAGAAGACGCTCTCGACGAGCAAGCTGGATCGCAACCGCCCGGCGAAACCGTGCAATCATCGGTGCATCAGCATCCCCTTCATAATTCCGTGCTTCATTCCAATTCACTGCTCCATCACCCGGTGGGCAGGCACGTAAAGCCTGCTGGGAAGCCCTGCGTAGCCAATACTGTAGTTGAACCAGGTGATCTTGACGGGCCAGGAGTCGATGGACGACCTCCCGAGCAGAGCCAGCGCCTGTTTCGTAAAGAGCTCTATGGACACTGCGGACATCCGTCTCGATCGCCTGGTTGGCGAGGTGCTGCTGCTGCTCGAGGTGGTCTCCCGTTCTCGTTTCGGCGTTATCTAGGGCCTGTCGTCCAGTTGGGGTTGTGCGATCCACAGTTTCGTCCCGATCATGCTCAGTGTCATTCACCATCTCATTGACATCATCATTATCGGGTCCTGCATGAAAATCGCTGTCACATCTCCATCAACAGACCTCTCCCGGGCAGTACGGCCGCGGTTTTTTGAGAGCTCGCATTCTCAGAAGTCCTCCCATCGGATCCCGAAGCCCACGACGACGCAGGTGGTTGTGGTACAGGTTGTTGACCAAGTCTCGCCCCCTCCGTCGCTCGTTCGTAGATCTGCATCATGAGCGGGGTGAGTTCCTCAATCCAGGCGAGCAACTCATCCCGGAGAGACACCGCATTAATAGTACCACCCTGCTTCGGCACCAACAGGTCTCCAGTTTTCTGGAAAATAAGGACATCGCTAATGAACCGCTGTTCACCATAGGCCATAGGGTTTAGGGTTTTCGAATTTATAGGGTTCAGAGTCTTCAGGGCTTTTTGAGATTTGGGGCCTGGGGCTTTTAGGGTGTAGGGTGCTGGGCTCAAGAAGGCTTTGGGGTTTTAGAGACTCACGCCGGGTCTTGCTTAGCTGCTAGGGTTTAGGGTCTAGCGGTTTCGGGATTTAGGGCTTCGCGGGGCTTTACTCTAGGGCTTTCGGCCTAGCCTTGTGGTTGAGGTTCATGTGCCTTTTACATTGAAACGTTTACCCCAGAGTCTACCCTCAAAAGGCAAGACCCCCAACCCTACACCTGGACCTAACATCTAGTCCGGTTCCAGTGAGCTGGAGCTGTTTCAAGGGCAAAGCAGCTTCGCCTAGAAGGCGAAATCGCAGGAACTAAACCCGAGGTTTCGGTCGTCAATAAGGTTTTGGGTTTTGTTTCTGCGGGCTTCCAGTTTGGGGGTTCACGTTTAGGGATGGAGGCTTTCAAGAGCCATCCCCGGCTTTCCCCGATGCTTCATGATTCAATGATTCAAGCATTTGGGGTTTACCTGAGCCTCCAACAGCTTAATTATTTTTTAAGGTACTTGGAAAAGGAAGTCCTAGGAAGGAACCCAGCAACATGCAATTAGGTTTTCTAGGGCCCCGGTAGGGTTGGCAAAAGCCTTCTGGCGGGGCCCGAATGCAATTTATGGCATGATGGCCCCTGTTATTACATGTAATTTTGATATTCTGTGAGCCTTCATGGTAGAGCCTAACCCCCTAGACCCCAAACCCCTGTTCATAAAGCCTAAAACCGAGTAGGAACGCAACTCACCTGAAGCCACCGAGGCCAGAGCAAGACACAGTCATCTCCATAGCCTGCGCGGCTTTGGGGGGTGGCCGGGCTTCGGTTTGGGACTTTAGGGGTTAAGGGTTTAGGCTTAGGGGTTTCAGGGTTTAAGGTTTAGGGGTTCAGGGCAGTGTTTAGGCCCTGAAACTTTTCAACTTCGGGACGTGAGGCTTAAAAGCCCTACCCCATAAACATGAGGCACGAAACACAAAACACTGAAACCCGAATCCCTAAACCTTAAAGAGCTGGGGTTTGGGGGGTTGCAAAGCTGGAAGCCTTGGGGGCCTTGTAGGGTTGAGGGCTTCGACGAGGGGTATCGGGCAGGGAGGCTCTAGAGTTTGCAGTTTGTAGATCAGTGTCCGGATCAAGACATGACAACTTGTCGACAAGGTCGAGTGTCTCAGGTGTGCACTGTGCCATTGAAGACTCTAACTGACTCCAAGTCGGCGCGAAGTGGCCCGCTGTGCAGCGGAACGCCCCGAAGATCTCCACGAATCTCAAATCCACCGAAGACCCAAACGACCTAAACTCATACACCCCGAACGTCGTTACGCCCTAGCCAAGTCGGGGGATCTTCGTCTGTGACACTCGCGTCGACATGCTGTACCTCAGACCTTCTCAGATGGAGACATCGACCCATCATCCCAAAAAACCGGTGCCTGCCCCCTTCAACCCGAAGCCTAAGCCCGAAAAACCCTACAAGCATACTAAGCTCGTATAAAAATAAAGCCGGAAGCCGTAAGCCCCAACACCGTAAGCCGAAAGCCCCAAAGCTCTAAAGCCCAAAACCCTTTTGAGAAGCCAATACTTCTACACTCTTATAAGCCCTCCAGAATCTCGGTTTTAGGGTTTGCCAACTTCCACAAATAAGCGTCATCTCGAAAAGGATCTCGACAGCAGCACGAATTGACCAGAATCGTGCGAACGATGCAAGCATGAAAGGACTCGGCAGTTCCTGTTGGACGAGTGCCTTTCCTTGGCAAGGCCCAGGGAGGATTGCCAGGTTTGGGGGAACCCAATATGCTCTCACAAACCCTTCAACCTAAACCCTAATCTCTTATAATGCCCCTAAACCAAAACTTGAAATTATTTCGCTAGACCTCAAGCTCGTCCTTTCCCTGAGCGCCCTGCTTGACAAGGCCATCCCGTCCGGCAGTGACCAAGATGTCCTAACAATGCTGACCTAAATAGAAAAAGGGTTCCACAAGGTTCTTTAATCTATGGGTTTCCGACTTCTTTGCCATTTGGTGGGTGTAAATGGCAGTATCAGGAAACGAGGATGCCTGATCTCGGGTGCACTGATCATAATGATGGTCCAGAGAGAGAAAGAGAGCGAGACAGGCAGCCCTGAAACAGAACAAATGAGGCCTGCACCCTGAAACCTCAACCTGGCACCTCTAAATTCCTAAACCCAATGCACTGAATCCCTAAACCCTAAGCTCTCAACCGCTGCACCCGAAACCCCGCCCCGGAGGTCGGGGTTGCCGCTTCCGCAAGCGAGCTGGCAACACATTTTGCAAGGAGATGGTGCACCTAAGCTGGGGCTTTACACGGTTTTGAAGGGTCTTACAGGGTGTTGTAAAGGCTTTTTTCCTAGATGGGCCGCTTTTTAAGCTGTTGTTGAAAGACATTCCTTAAAGAACCCTCTACGAGCGCGGAGGCTCTCTGTTTAGTCTGGCTTCAAGAAGCAAGGATGATAGGCTTCGTTTACAGGTTCGGGTTCAGGGTCATGCGCTTGGGACATGAATCCATAATGTCGGAGTTAATGACAGGACCAGCAACCTAAGCCCTTCAGCAATCTCTAACCGGTTTAGTGGATGAGGTTTGGGCACCAGGGTTCGTCTTGGGTTTCAACACAGACCCAGGCATGTGCCGGGTTCCTGATATGCGGTTTAGGGCTCTAGGGTTTACGG